GTCAAAGAATGTGCTACCTTAAGATTGTTTAAGATTAAGCTTAAGGCCAACAAGCATCTTCTCAATAGCATAAATTTTGCCAAAGATTCCTGCTGTGTTTCAATGAAACACGATGACTTTCTGTATTTTTAATTGTAAATTTAATATTATTTTGTATTTAACTTACCTAATTAGAATTGTATTTAAGAAGTAATTTTACTCTGTTTTTCCAATTTTTTATTATATATTTTATTGTGATTGTATTTAATTTGTAGTTAGGCAGGTCCACATCAGGACTTTGGTCTTGCCAGTCTTTCTAACCTGCATTGTTAAATAAAGATGTGTGTATGTATGTGTTTAGACAACGACTTCAGTCGAGATGTCTGTAAATTGTGCTTCCGGTTAAGTCGATCGCGGCTCGTCTTCACCAATTCAAAACCGCTTCAAGGGTGTCCTCTATCTGAGTAATTTGGTAATATCAGCTAAGTTGAAATTGTAAATTGGCCACCGTAAGAGTTAAAAAGCTGACGTTTTGAGCGTTAGCCCTTCTCCATTCGCTCTGACGAAGGGCTAACGCTCGAAACGTCAGCTTTTTAACTCGTTGCGGTGGCCAATTTACAATTTCAACTTAGTCGATGTTACCAAATTACCTTGTTACCCCCACCGACGCAGCACCACATTTTCTTTAGAAACTTACCCCCTTTGGTCATTTGTCCTCTATCTGAGCTGAACTGCTCACAGACAATTTTACCTATCTAACAGATCTATGCATGGGAAATCACTCACCCGGATATAATAGTGTCATCAGACAAGACATGGTGAAAGACTATAGTAAATCGATGGCTTGTAGAATAATTAATAGGCTTAAATCAATATTCTGTGATAATGAAGGGTAAGCAAACAGAAACATTGATCATGATAAAAGTTTCAGCTTACAAAAATATCTGAACGTCCTTACGTGTTGCTCACGTATCCGATGCTTGATACACAACAGCGAACACTGACCATTGTGAATCAGATTCTCGAACCTGCTGAATAATTGCCTCCCTCTGCAAACAATTGTGGCCATATTTCAATTTCAACTTCGCAGAGCACCGACTTAGCGACAGCCGACTGACCGATCTCGTCTGTTTTGGTTCATGTCACGCCACAACAACGTTTAAATTTCGTGTTGTTTACACAAAGTAAATGAGTTTGCCACTAGTTACCAGTCTTTCGCCGTTGACTTGATGTAAAGGATTACATTTCTTGCAGGAGAAACTTTTCTTTAATTCTTGAAAATCAATGGGTTAAAAGACATCAGGGGGAAAAGGGACATCTGGAGGAGGTGACAAGGTGTGAAAGTTTAAGATGAATTTCATAAACCCAGTTGCAATTTTGTTGTCAGTGTGCGTGCTAATCCTCCGTGTTGAGTCATCGGTTGACGACAAGCAAAGTGCCAGCCACAATAACACTTCTCATGAAAACGGAACACCAGGTCATGCCAGCGATCCGCCACCGGAGCTTAAAGTGGCAAAGTTTGACTTTGCATATGTGGCTGGGCCACTGACGATCATTGTATGGATTTTGATTGCAAGTTTTGCCAAACTCGGTAAGTGTTGACTAGAAATGTAATTCGGAGGTAATTAGCGGCTTCGCTGGAAGTAGTGGTGTGACTTGTAATTCGACAATCGATTTCTTATATTTTCGACTCAGAGTATGAAGAAAATTCAAAACTGTGAAATCCGATTTTCTCTTCCTTTCAGTTTTTCATTTGTCTCACAAGCTGTCTTCGATTGTACCGGAGTCATGGTGAGTTGAATTAATTAACGCAGCTGCCGTCTTTATTTTATTCTGTGTTAAAGAGGGGCAGATAATTTTTAAAAGCTCTGTCAGTTTTTGCACTTTATAACATCGATGCATTGAAAAAATTAAATAATCAAGATTAACGTTGAAAAAATTGAATTTATTTAGTGGATTTTAGAAGCCTTTCGAGATAATATCAAATCTATAGTGTTGCAATTTTTTTTTTTTCACATTTGATTAAAATGCAGATCGACCTATCTTTGACAGCTGGCCATCCATTTCGTCTCTCTTGATCAGATCTGTTGTTGACTCTAGCTATGTAGGTTATGTTCAGGCTGTTATGGAAATGAAACCTTGAATTAAAAATATATTGTTTTCTTCAGCTGCTTCATTTTGGGTGGAATTTTGCAAAAAGAAATCAACTTTCTAAAGATTTATATGTGGTTTTCTTTTCGGGTGTGTGTGTGTGAATTGGAGATATTTTTCTCAGACGTGGATTCTAAACAATCACCCAATTAATTTTCCTTGTTTCCTATGAGTAAAAATCTCCAGCTGGAAAAACTGATATTCATCATCCATTTTGAAATACTAAGTGTGATGAATAACTGTCACAATGTTAAACAGCTGACACAATTTTCTGTATTGAAACTTTTTTAGTTGTGGCATAATCCAACTCATCATTAGTGACTGCTTATATACAATCTCATCTACTGTACAAAAATTTGACTCTATTGGCTGGCTGTTTCAACAGCAGTCACCTGATTTTGCAGATGTTTCAAATTATGCCTCATTTTTAACACTTTCATTCCCAGCTCAACATCATTTTTTTACATTTTTTTAGTCATAGATCACATGTGACATAAAAAAGTGGCAGACGGTTACAGGCTAATTTATTAGTGATTTTCATGCCACATTTTGATATCTTCTGTAATCTATTATTGCACAGACCAAGGGTAACATGGAAGCTATTTGTTTTATATGATAACACAGGAATATGCTGTTAATGGTGACATCATCTAGGGATCTAATAACCAAGAAGCTCACTTACTACAAATGTTTTCAACTACTGAATTAACAAGTTCAAAAAATGGATTGATAATTAAAACCAGAGTGTCTAACTTTGTTTATTGAAAAAAAGCAAAATTACTGACTGAAATCCAAGTGATTTCCAGTTTAAGCATGATATTGGTAGCTTATATATTGGCAGTCAGAAAACTGTACTCATATACCTTGATCAAGTATTTTATATTGTATTTTCTGATGATCCAGTTTTTTCTATCAAGTAATGATTATATTACTGATAGTTACTCATTATTATCAATCATTTCCTTTACTTCAGTCTGGTAATTGTCCTTGGAATTGTTATTGGAGGGATAATGAAGTAAGTGATGAGGAATTATGTATAATTTCATTGATGTAACCTGAATGTGGTAGTGTTACACAGCTCACAGTACTTCAGTCTGTATTGGTATTTGAATAGGTCATTTTATAGTTATTTACTTAGTTGCCAAGCCTTTGATTCAGAGTGAGGCTGAAGGTGACCTTGTTGTGATAGAGACCTGTATCTACTTAGCATGATAACAAAGTGATTTACATTTGAAAGGCAGCAAGGTTTGTATCATAACAAGGTCAACCCTAGCCTAGCTCCCATTCAAAGGCTTGGCAACCAAGCACACAACTGTAAAATGGACTATTCACTTTTCCTGAAGCTTCCAATATAAATAATCTACCAAAACTGACTAATTTAACTGGTAACCACATGAAAACCTGGTAGTGGAAGATACCTATCAATGGTGACAAAGTTAAGGTATCTATATACCAGTCTTAATATAATTTATACTTGATTTGTGCTAGAAGATGTCCTTTGATTTGATATTTAAAAAGAGAGTCACCAAACTTTGCTTTTGAGTCTTTAGAAATTAGGGGACTTGAAGGTACAGACTCTCTCTCCTTGTGAACAGCATCAGACACATCTTCATCATTTCTTTTGCTGGTGTGGTACTTATTAGTTGATTCATTAAAACAGATATTTGATTAAACAAAACAAACAATTTACTCAGTGTCATTGTACTTTTGCCTTCATCCAGGGGTATAGGCATTTTGGAGATGGTTCCCACCTTCTCATCACGCACTTTCTTTCTGTTTATGCTGCCGCCGTAAGTTATTTGTGTTGAAAATCATTTTTTTAAGTCTCTTTTAAATCTTTTGGCTGTAACAAGAAGTAAATTACAGTGTAAGGTTACAGACAATATTTTCTTAGAAAATTAATGTACCTCCCTGAGGCATCTTTCCTGAGTCAGACTGTTTCACCAATATGAAAGTAACTGTATTTTTTCTTTTAATTTTGATATCATGCCCATTGATGTGTTTTTCGTTACATGACAAAAAGGCTGGAAAATTAAAAGGTCAGCCAGAAGGCCGGGTTGTTAAAGCTGGGTTATGATGACCAACAGTGTGAAATCTGATTTCAGATCCGCAGTCTTATTAAAAGAAAATTCATCATAGGTTTCTTTGGTCTTACTAGAATTTGATTATTGGAAGATTGAAACCAAATAGAGAAACTTATCTGAAAAAGGCTTTGAAAAAAGGAATGAAGAAACCCTGATTAAAATTTAACCTTGGGTTAGTGCTAATCAGGGGGTTTGAAAAGATCAATGTGTTCACAATTTTTTTCGCAGATTGTAGATCTCTCTTAGCAAGCCATTTCCTAATCTTGCTCAATCCAATTGACATGACTTTAATTTATGGTTTCTTCATGTTACTTTTTGGTTTCCAGAATTGTCCTTGAGGCTGGTTATTTTCTTCAGGACAGAGCATTTTTCAACAACATAGGAACAATTTTGTTGTATGCTGTTGTGGTATGTTTTCTATTTATTTTAAAACTTCATTGTGTAGTATCTTTATGGAACATTCCTTTTATATTTCTTGGATATTTGCATTGTTTGTGTAGCTCATAGGTACATACATTCATATGATCAATAATTTTTGGAATGATTATCAGACCTGCATTGATAATGATTTTGAATCATTTTATTTATCTATTTATTTCTCTCATTACTCTCTTTTTGTGGACAGGGAACAATTTTCAATACATTCACCGTAGGTGAGTCTTCTTGAACTTTCACTTCACTACTTTTTCTCTTAAAAGTATAGCATCTCAAGTCTTGTGTGAAGTTATAAATACTGAAAACATCAACTTTTCTAATTTCATTACCAGGGCTGTCATTGTTTGGGGTATCACTGACTGGCGGGCTGAACTTGACTTTGATGCATACATTGACATTTGCAGCCCTCATTGCGGCAGTGGATCCAGTTGCTGTAGGTTGCATGCTTATACATACAAATTTGACACCTTGTGTGCCATGATTACAAGTTAAAAATTGATTCATGTTCTCAGGGTTGTAGGTAAGAAATTATGTTGTTGGCTGAAATTTCAAGTGAGGTGGCTTAAAGGAAGCAAACGATTGTAATCTTGAGTGTAACCTTAGAAGTGCCCATTGTGCTTTACCAGGCAAAAATCCAGCCAGTGATTGCCACTTTTTGATTTTGTACATTTTTCTGACAGCTGGTGCTTAGTGACAAACCTGTGCTCTATGCAGGTTAACTTCCGATTATTTTATCAGGTGCTTGCTGTGTTTGAAGAAATTCATGTTAATGTTATGCTGTATATCCTGGTGTTTGGGGAATCACTTTTAAATGGTAAGATAAGCTTTTTTGGGTCTCTCCATATCTTTTTTCATAGGTTACTCTTTGGAATCTCAAAATTTGACCTGTTTAAGAGTTTCATCTTAACTATTATTGACAAGTTGATAAATTGCATAACAGATAGGCTTCTTCAGAACCTTCTAAAACAATGACGTCATAAGAACTTCATTTATAATCTTAGCTTTCTGAAAGAAGCATGTAGGGTCTCTCATAAGAATCAAGATTTTAAATATTTTTGGTATGATTGTAATTTTGATCCAATTTGATAATGGTATACCTAGATAGCTTAAGCCAAATTCTGTAGACAATAGGTCCACATCAGCCTCCGGCCGCCTTTAATTTAACCTACTATATCAAATAAAGTATGATGATGATGATGATGATGATGATGATGAGACAAGTGGCTCTCTTGTTTTTATTCAGATGCTGTGACTGTAGTTCTATACCATCTCTTTGAAGGTTTAGCAGGGTTTGATGAAGTCTCTTACAAAGAGGTACATTAACGAGTTTTATACATAAATGTAAACTAGCTACAGTAGGTTTTTGCAAATACAAGCTTTTAATTAAGACCCACCCTTTTCCCTGCCAGAAAGTTTTATCATTGATTCGAGAAAAAGAGCAGTACAATTCAACCAAACTATTCATGTCAGTAGTAAATGAACCAATCAACTCTTTCAGATCCTTACTGGCTTTGCATCATTCTTTGTGGTCAGTCTCGGAGGGACAACTCTGGGGTTGCTGTGGGGATTGGCCACCGCATTTGTAACCAAGTATACTGATCATGTTAGAGGTAAGTTGTCACTGTGCAACCATTTCTGTGGAAGACTTCTTAAAGCAACCATCAATTCAAAACTTCAACATCCCCCCCACCCCCCTTGGTAACCCACTGACATTTGACTGTTGTCCATGCCTGGAGAGTGTGAAATTTGAACCTTGCCTCCATGGGGTGGGGCATTTGAACCAGAAGTGTCAAGTCTTTCCAGTTCAAATACCTGTTTTAATGGGGAATTAAAAAGGTAAAAGGTCTGCTTTTGTGTCTTAGCAAAAGCCTAAGAAAGACAATTTCCACATCATAGAATGATGCTTGCAAGTGAAAAACCCAACAGGAGTCAGGAAAAGTATGACTGAACTAAATTCTAAAACATTCATTGATCACACAAAGAATCATTCAATATTGTGTGGGGTACATATTTGATGCCAATTTGGTCCAGAGGGGAGCAGGAATTTGACCAAGCCAATCTTCAAAAGTTCAAATGCCTGGGAGGTTGGTTGTAGGGGAGAGGGATGTCAAAGCTTTGAATTGATCAATGCATAAATCAAGTACTAAGGGATCAAATTGTGCCAGTCCTTTCACTTCATACATGAGGCAGTTCAATACTCATCAGTCATACTTATTCTGAGATGAGAAAATTGAAATCATTTTGTTTGATGGTGAAAGCTATATGTGGTGTAACGGGCAAAAAAGTGATAATAAACTTTTAAGATAGTGTTGATATTGATGATAACAATGATTTGGTGAACTGGAATGGAAATTATTTTAATTTATTCTTGGTTCTCTTTTTGTAGTGATTGAACCCATCTTTGTGTTTATTATGAGTTACCTTTCATACCTGACGGCAGAACTGTTCCACTTGTCTGGAATTATGAGGTGATAAACTTATCAGTGCATGATCTTTATCTGTGTGATGTTGTTTGTTTTCAGCACCAATTTTCAGACTTTTCAAACTAACAGCCTACCAGTTAGCTCAATGGATAGAGCGCTGGACTGTTGTGTGGGAGGTCGAGGGTTCAAGCCCCGGC